ACATGTTCAGAAACCACAAGAAATTAAGGAGTTCGTAACATTTGCTACATGTGGATAATATTAAAGACAAAGAGATTTCTACTTTTATATGAGTCCCTAAAATCCTTTATGTGGTATATTATCATTATTAGCAGCCAGTGATAGAATGGGTTGTAAAGAGATAAAGACATGCATACCAGTATGCATACATAGGGATGATATATGATCAAGTGGAACATGAGGGAAAACTATGTAGTCTGTCACCTATCTATATACAAATATACAGAAATATATAGACTTATACTAAAACTAAAATGAAGGAAATGTGAAAATACAGCACATAAAAAGATGATAATGCACATTGAATAACTTTTTAACTCAATAGGAAAATCCAGAAGAAATGGAAGAATTTCTAGGTTCATTTGAAATAATTAACACCTATACCCCTCACAATTCTAGCAGAGGCTCACAATAGCACCATAGGTATGTTTATATGGCCATATAAAATGATGGTGATCAAAATGATCTCTATAATGTGGAAGACAAGAGTATTTGTTTTGTTGTTTTGTTTCTTTGTTTTATAGTGCTCTGTTTGTAATTAGTTCTTTTTTTGATGGTTGTGGGGCTTGAATTCAGCCTGGGCACTGTGCAGTTTTATTGGTGGTTAATTGGAGACAAGAATCTCATGGACTTAAGTTCAAGGTATATTTTAGATATGAGACCCTTGTCTGTTGTATGGTTAGTGAAGATCTTCTCCCAATCCGTGAGCATTCTATTGGTCTTGCTAGCCATGCAGAAGCTCTGCAGCTTCATGCAATCCCATTTGTCCAACCTTTCTTTGATTTGTTGTGTTTCTGTTTCTGTATTAAGAAAATTTTGGCCTGTGCCAAGAAGACCTAGGGTTTCTCCTATTCTATCCTGCAATGTTTTCAAAGTGTCTGTTTTGACTCCGAAGTCTTTGATCCATTTGGGGTTGATTTTGGTGCAGGATGATATATAAGGATATAGCTTTAGTTTTCTACAAGTAGTTAACCAATTTTGCCAGCACCATTTACTGAAGAGGCTGTCATTCTTCCATTCTATTTTTTTAGCTCCCTTATCGAGAATTAGATGGCTATAGGTCTTTAGGTTCATTTCTGGGTTTTCAACTCTATTCCATTGGTCCGGGGGTTTGTTCTTGTGCCAGTTCCAAGCAGTTTTGATTACTATGGCTTTGTAGTAAAGTTTGAAATTTGGTATTGATATTCTTCCAGCACTATTCTTTCTTTTAAGGATGACTTTTGCTATTCGGGGTCATTTATTATTCCATATGAATTTTTGAATTTCCTCTTATATTTCCTTGAAGAATGAGGGTGGCACAGCCTGAAATTTTCTTAATAGAGACCCAGAAACACAAGAAATCAAAGAAAGGTTGGACAAATGGGATTGCATGAAGTTGCATAGCTTCTGTATGACAAAGGACATAGTTCCCAAGATCATTAGAAAACCCACGGATTGGGAGAAGATCTTCACTAGCCATACAACAGACAAGGGTCTCATATGTAAAATATACCTGGAACTTTAAAAGTTAAATCCCCCAAAACAAATCTTGAAAGAAACAACTGCCCAATAAATAAGTGGGCTAAAGACTGAAAGAGAAACTTCTCTGAAGAGGAAAGAAGGATGACCAGTAGACACATGTTGAAATGCTCAACCTCCCTAACCATAAAAGAAATGCAAATCAAAACAACATTGAGATATCACCTCACCCCAGTTAGAGTTTCTATAATCAAGAACTCTAATAACAACAGATGGTGGAGGGAATGTGGACAGAAGGGAACCTTACTGCATTGTTGGTAGGAGTGTAAACTTGTTCAACCACTCTAGAAAGCAGTATGGAGGTTCCTCAAAAGACTCCACATAGAGCTCCCCTAAGACCCAGCAATTCCACTTTGGGGCATTTAACCAAATGATCACAAACAAGACCACACTAAAGCTACCAGCAAGACTATGTTTATTGCAGCACTATTTACTATAGCTAAGATATGGAACCAACCCAGATGCCCCTCAGTAGATGAATGGATCAAGAAAATGTGGTATATATAAACAATGGAATTCTATGCTTGCATCAGAAAGAATGACATTGCCCCATTTGTTAGGAAATGGAAAGACTTGGAAAAATTATAGTAAGTGAAGTAAGCCAGGCCCAAAGAAACATATGTCCCATGGTTTCCCTTATTTGTAATAACAAGTAAATGTCTGAGTCCAGCAGAAAAGGTTGAAAGACCCCAGCCTGTGCTTGCCCATTAGGTACCCCAAGGAAAATTGCTGCCCCTTACCCTGCATACCTAAGGGGGTGGTGGGGCAGGATAAGTGCAGGCCGCTAACCAGGAAACGAAACCTCGAGCCTCTGAGTCACCGCCTGCAGACCCTAGCCTGACCCTAGTACATGCCTTAAAACCAGGCATTCCGGTAAAATAGCCGACCCACCCGTCCCTTCCTGTAAAACTTAACCCTAATGGCAGGGTAGGGCAGGATGTAATAAATCACTTGTCAAAATTAGGGAACAAGAAGTTTCGGGGCATTCCGACCAGAACCGGCATGTCAGGGCAAGTACCGACACGTCAGCTCTTCCCCAACCCCACCTACCCCATCTGGCCAGCTTAACCTGACCAATCATCACCCTAAGCGTAATTCAAAATTAACCAATCAACCCCCTGTAACCACGCATCTCGCTTCTGTAACCTCGCTTCTGCTGCCCATAAAAAGAGGGTGCTTTCAGGCACTGGGTGCGCAAGTCTTCCGACAGACTTTGTCGCCCCGGGTACCCGTGTAACCGGTTCTCAGACACTTGACTCGAACCTTGTGGATCTCGTGGTTGAGTGCACCTGGGAGCCGAGGCATGCCCGAATAAACCTCTTGCTGATTGCATCCGCACAAGTGGTCCCGTTGTTCCTTGGGGAAGGGTCTCTTCAGACTGAAGGACACCCCACGCCGTCGGGGGTCTTTCAAGGTCAGATAAGTTGATGTTAGGGAAATGAATCCCAAGATAAGTATTCAAATGTTTTTTGTTTGTTTCTTTTTTTCCTTTCTTGCAATTGTTTCTAACATATTTATAAGATGATTTCTTTGTTGCTTTGTATGTCCCTCCCCCACGGTATAACCCCTGCTTTCAATGTATTTGATGTTGGTATAATTTGTGAAGGGGAAGGGAACAAACAAATCGTTTAAAATACAGGTGGACCCATTGCAACAATGAGATGTACAAGTTGTTATGTTACAACTTTGGTGGAAGGTGGGGGAAGGGTTAGGTGGTGGTGAGAGGGGTGTTTGGGACGGGATGTGAAGGGGAAACAAAGAGGAGGCAACAATGCCTGATAAGAAATGTACTCGTTTCTTGCCCATGTAATTCTAACTCCTCTGTATGGTATTCTCACAATAAAAAAATAAAATAAAATAAAGTAAAATTTAAAAAAAGAATCCTGGTGAAAGTGTCATCTTAGTCAAGTGTGATTACACTTTCGAAGTAAAATAGGAAATAGAAACTTTCACATGGGGGACATGACCCCTCTAAAAGCATGGTCCCAGCTGCCTATGTACCATGAAAGCCTAGAATAGAGCTCCCCAGTTTCTAGCTGTTATTGATAAAGATCCAGTATTTCCCATGCTTTCCCAGGGTTTAGAAGGTCAAGATTTGGATATTTCTCCCTGTGTGTATTGTTTGTCAACTAGTGGCAACTTTGTGACAAATCAACAGGTAAGCTTTTCATTTGGAGTTTTGGCTTGGCTATATTATATTAAATGATTACCTCAAAGAGTTCTGCAAGAAAGTCCCAGTATTTTCCTATGTGAAATTATGCTATTTTATTTATTTTACCACTTGCTTAATTGTAATTTATGTATATTAATAACATGCAGTGATTTCTTGATAATTCTCTACCTGAATGCAGTGTACTTTGAAATTTTTCACTAAACACTTTATATTTCCATTGTCTTTTCCTGTTTAACACATACCATTTTTCTGATGGTAGGTAATAGACTCCATTATTCAAAAGTGTATTTGTGTATGTATTACTGAGTTTTATTGTCACTACTACTTAATTATTATTATTATAGCATCATCATCACCATCATCATCATCATAATTTAGGTGGGTCTTTGGACAATTTGCTTTGGGATCCCTACCTATATCACTCAACATGATGTCTAGTACCATTCATTTTTCAGCATATTATAGATTTCCTTCCCCTCTGTTCTTGCCCCTGATCTAGGGAATTACCAGCCTCAGGATTTTACTAAAATACCTTCTTTGTCCATCATAGTGCTTGAACCCTGAGCTATTTTGCTCAAGGTTAGCACTCTACCACATTGAGCCCCAGCTCCACTTCTGGTTTTCTGGTAGTTAACTGGAAATAAGTGTCTCAAAGACTTTCCTGCCCAAGCTGGCTTTGAACTGAGATGCTTAGATCTCAGCTTCATAAGTAGTTAGGATTGAGCCACCAGTACCCAGTATGAGGCACCAGTACTCAGCAATACCTCATTTTAAAGAGTGAACTGAGGAGTGCTAATATGTTAAGACAAAGTCAAGCTGAGCCTTCATCTCAGACTTAGAAGGGAAAACACTATGCAAGTCAGGAAGTGCTTGCAGCAGTTTAAGAGGAGGAAAGAGAAGGCAAACGTCTCTCTTGTGACCAAGTGGAAATCATATCCACCTGAATACCAAATCACAGATGCTCTGAAATACAGACTTGTGTTATTTATAAGACAACAGAAACCTTGTCTGGTTGGTGCCCCTGAGGCTGAGAAGGAAGAAAGAATAAATTGAGAGGATTGTCACTGACCACCTGGACCAAACCCCCACTGAATTTCAGAGCCTTGTTCTAGCTGAGAAGCACTATCTGCAGGCAGAGGCCCCAGGAGGAGCAGCTGGGGCAGCCCAGCCTTTCACTTCTGCTTCCGCTGGAGGTTTATGTTATCGCTTGTATCACTGTGGGAGGGTACCTACTACCTTGTTGACAGTAATAAGTTGCAAAGTCTTCAGGCTAAAGGCTGCTGATGGTGAGAGTGTACTCTTCCCCAGATACACTGCCACTGAATCTGGATGGGACCCCGGTTTGCAAGCTGTTTGCCCAATAAATCAAAAGTTTAGGACCTTTCCTTGGTTTCTGCTGATACCAATGTAAATTAGTACCAATGCCCTGACTGGCTCTGCAAGTGATGGAGACTCTGTCTCCTACTGACGCGGACAAGTAGGATGGAGACTGAGTCATTAGGATGTCACATCTGGAACCTGATATTGGAAACAAAAGACAAATATCAACACAATTAATTTTGCTCTGAGACCGTTCATGAAGAATGAGGCAACACTGTTAACACTGGGCTTAGTAAATTCCTAGCATCTCCTTGCTTACCTGGGAGCCAGAGCAGCAGGAGCCCCAGGAGCTGAGCAGGGGCCTTCATGTCCATGCTGTATGCTGACTGCAACTGACTCCTGCACAGAGTGTGAGCAGACTATAAAGAAATTCTTGGCGCAGTAGACTGTGCTCTAGGCACATGCAAATCCTCAAGCAGTGGGCAGAGCTGCAGGCCTGGCCCAGATGCAGGCTGGCTGAAAGGCCTGTCAAAGCCCAGAACTAAAGTCACCAGGGGTGGAGTCTCTAGAGACCTGCACAGAACAAATTTGTCTTCAGAAAATGTTTTTAAAGGAGGATGTGACAATGATCAATAGAAAATGGACTCATTACCTTACTCATGTAACTGTAACTCCTCTGTACAATAGCTTTACAATAAAATATATATTAAAAGAAAATGAAGGGACAGTGTTACTGGAAAAGAAGGGGACCTTTGTGGAACGGTGGCCCTTAGTCTCCATCCCCCTGCCCCACTCCAGACAACTTCTTTTTTCTTACTGAAGAAACAACCACTGACCTCCCCATTGACTCATCCGATACCAGTTCCCAATGTATCTAGCTCTTTGTTCTTTGTGAGCATTAAACCTGACTCCTGATGGCAATGAGTCTGAAGCTTCCTCTCTCCACCTAGTGGAGGAGCCTGACCCATCCTGAAGGCCTGGCTCAACTCCCTAACTCCACCTCTGAAATAGGTTAAGATCTCTCCTGCCCTAAACCTCGATTTTAACTGCTTGTACAAGGATGTCTGTCATATTAGTGAAGTGAAACATTTTTAAATGTTAAATAAACTTTAGTGCCTGTAAAAAAATTAAGGAAAGAAAAGAAAATGAAAATCTATGCATTTATACAAAAAGAAGAAAATATTTTTCCTTGGAAACCTAAGGCAGATTGACTCTATTGTTCTCCACTGCTCTTTTTTTTAAAGTGCATTTTAATTTTGACATAATCCATGCTATGTTTTTTTTTCTTTTTTTCTTCTTTTTCCCCGGTTGGTTGTGGGGCCTGAACTCTGGGCCTGGGAACTGTCCCTCAGCTCTTCAGCTCAAGGCAAGCACTCTACCACTTGAGCCACAGCACCACATTTGTTGCTGGGGAATTGAACCCAGGACCTCATGCATACAAGGCAAGCACTCTACCACGGAGCCACCCTCCCAGGCCCATGCTATGGTTTTCATGACAGCTTTTTATATAATTTAGTCACTCAGAAAAAAATTAAACAGTTTTACAATAAAAATATAGAAGACTTCTGCTTTGTTAGTAGATATTATGATGCCAGATTCCCAGAGTTTTCACTGTTTCCCTGTCCTATTCCAAAGAATAATCATAATCAGTATTACCCAGAAATTGATACGTGATAACACCAATCATAGGTAGGTAGGTAGTTGGCTAGGTAGAAGTAGACAGATAGAAATGTACATATGTAGGGAAGTACAAAAAAGAAAAAAATAGAAATTTAAGGAAAGAATAAAAGCAAGGAAGCAAGGAAGGAAAGAAAATCCAGAAAGCTGCCTAGGTAGCTAGGTGGCTTAAATTTTACTTTAAAAATACTATGCAAAAACAAAATTGATGCAATAAAAAATCATGATCTGCAAAGTATAGACCATCCCCTGGTCTTTGCATTGGTGCCCTGCACACTCCTGATAAATGATTGTTTTTCTGCTCTGGTAAATGCTCTTTCCCAATGCCTCCCTCCAGGACAGTTCATATAAGCTCCCCTAACCACCCCCAGCTTCTACTAAGGAAAGAATTTGATGCTATTTCTACCTTAGTGAGCATTACACATTTCTACACCAGACATTTCCTAAGCTTTTGGGTGTCATATATGTCCTATCTTTATTATCTGAACCTGAGGCCCCTCAGAAGCTGAGGTGTTCTCTAAATCATGGACTCATATCTACTTCAGTGTACTCCATTTCACACATCTGTGTGTTCGTACATCATCCATTTTGTCTACTGTCTAAGTGAAGGTGTCTACTAAGTGATAGTGTTTTTAATGACTGAGTTTAGGGATCATGACTCAAATAAGCACGGAAAGGGTAAAATGCAACATGCCCAAGGATGAGGACTAGGAACTGGAATTAAAAATATAGAGTGGACATCTTCATACAGTGAGGACAAAGACCGCAGACTGTGAAGTTAGAGTAAGTGCGGAGGTCTTCACACATGAGGATCAATCCATACTACACCTAAGCAAGAACATAAAGTGAGTGGCCTTTGTGAAAACTTTTGTTTACAATGGGCTGAAAACTCTGTGACAATGCATTAAATGGGAGAAGCCTAAGAAAAAGAAACATTTGTGTTAGGTGTACTCTTAAAGGTAGCTGTGATACAAAACAATGTGTGTTTGCACTTCCATCCTTTTTCATGACATAAGAGCCTATAAATCCCTTGGAACTTTGGGGAGGGGAAAGAGGAGAAAGGATAGAGAAAGAGAGAGAGAGAGAGAGAGAGAGAGAGAGAGAGAGAGAGAGAGAGAGAGACAGAGAGAGACAGAGACAGAGACAGAGACAGAGACAGAGAGAGAGACAGAGACAGACAGAGACAGACAGAGACAGAGAGAGAGAAGCCCAAGTCTGGATTTGAATAAACCCTAAAATCCAATGATCTTTGTTATACGGTGCTCATATATTACATGCCACCCTCTGTAAAACTTCTCTCCATGATGTGAAGCACAGGTAATTTCCAATGTGGATAGATAACCACTCAGAAGATGGAGATCTGAGGATCAAAGTGCAATGCCAGCTCAGACAGAAACCTCTGTGAGACTCTTACCTCCAATTAACCACCAAAAGACAGCAGTAGAAATGTGGCTCAAGCACTACAGCTCAGGGACAGCATCCAGGCCTTAAGTTCAAAGGCCTGGACAGCACAGAAAAAGGGGTAAGAATATCCAAAGACCAAGTTAGGAGCAGCCGGAACAGTCTTCAATATCATTAAATATGTCTGTCAATATCATTAAATTGAATGCTCTATGAGATCTTTGATTTTCTTTTATGTGCTCAAGATTTCAGGGTTGGTGATAGTCCCTGATACTATTAGTTTATAACAGTAATTTCTTTGTGTTTGGGGTAGGAGTAAATGAACAACTGCCCAATAGTTTTAGATCTGTAGCTGTTTTACTTATTACCATCAGGTGGGGCTGTGGAGCCTTCAATGTGTCAATGACAGAGATGTGGGAGCACTTGACATGGGAGAGGAGAGACTGGCTGACCTGAGGAGCAGTGATAAAGCTCCTGAACATGTGGTGGGGATTCATAGTCTGCAATAATGCTTGAGCTGATGAAGATGTCACAAGCCTGCTTGATGTCTGGAGCTGCTTGTTTACTTAATAAAAGGAATTCAAACATGGATTTATGTAGGGAACTCTGGAGCTGAGCTGCGAGGCCTGGAAAGGGTTAACAAATTGGAAAGCCAGGGGCTGGGAAGGTGGCTCAGTGGTAGAGTGCTTGCCTTGCATGCAAGAGGCTCTGGGTTCGATTCCTCAGCACCACATAAGCACAAAGAAAAAGCCGGAAGTGGCACTGTGGCTCAAGTGGTAGAGCGCTCATCTTGAGCTGAAGAGCTGAGGGACAGTGCCCAGGCCCAGAGTTCAAGGCCCCACAACTGGACTCCCTCCCCCCAAAAAAAAAGAAATTGGAAAGCCATCTCAACAGTAACCAGAAGGCTGAAAGCTGGGCCCTGGAAATATCAAATAGTCAAGGCAAAACAGAGGTTCAAGTTTCTACCCTGTGGCTGAGTGTGCATCCAAAGTTTAAGGCCTTGGAGGTAAGATAAAAGTCTATGCTATTGTTGGAATGCTTATTGCTTCCCTCAGCTTCATAAGATAAGGGACTCCATTATCACTTGTATGCAAATTATCCATAGTGGTTATAACTTCAAAGATATTCATACCCTAGTATCAATACTGAACTAAATTAAAAGATTTGTTACTGAGATCTCAGCTCTGGATCCCCTGCTCTCTCCTTTTGTAGTTTCTCTCTTTTCTCTTTCATTGGCCAGGTATCCTGTCATCTTGGTGATCCTGGTTGTGGTTAGCAACAAGTGGCACCCAACATGGGGCTTGAATAACAAGTGAAATCAAGGTTTTGGAAGAGTCAACAGAAGAACCCTCAGGAGCTCCTGCACTAGCACCACACTTCAGGATTGTCAGGGTAATAATGGGGCAAGCTAGAAGCAAAAGGGCTGAGTATTTTAAGTCAACAAAGATGCTGCTGGTAGCCTCAGGAGCAAAAGTAAAGAGAAAAGACTGAGGACTTAGCCTTTTATGTCAAGAAATATAGTCATCGGTTGCCTCCACAAGGAATGCTTCAAATTTGGTGATGGAAGGAGGTTGTCAGGCCATTTGAAATGGCTCATAACCAGGGGAAAATAATCCCATTGGGAAGGAAGGGATGGTAGAGGAAAAACAAAGGAGGAGATAACAATGCTTGATAGGAAACGTACTTATTACCTTGCTCATATAACTGTACCCTCTGTACAGTATTTTACAATAAAAAAACATAAAAACTGATTTTTATGCAATAATTACAATGATGTTTCAGCCTTTTCAAACTCCTCCACAATCAGAGTGTAGGTCTGTATTGGAAGCTCTTATGTAGAAAAAGGAAACCTGCTTGAAGCCTAACAAGTATTTGTAATTCAAAATGTCCTGGAATGAGGAAGCCCATAGCCAAACCTTTAGAAAAAAGCATGTCTAGCCCCCATACAAATTGGGGCTGCCCCACTTAGGAGGAAGCGAGCTTGGCTGAACATGGCTCAACAGTTACAGTATGATGATCAAGCTATTAATCAGGAACACAGGGCAAGAGAAAAGATAACACAGCCAGGATAAGTGACTATCTCTTCAGTAGAAATCAGGCATGGAGGCCCAGCACCTTATGTTATTTTATAGCCAGGTTGAGACAATCTTCATAAAACTGTACAACAAGCTGAGTTAATAGAATTACTTCTCCAAATGCTTGCCTTTGATAATACTAATTCAGAGTGTCAGAATGCTTGGACCTAATCAGGGCCACAAATGCCAACCTTGCAGATTAAAAGGAATTGTTCAGAATATAAAAACTCCAAACAAATTCAGATCCTTGTATAAGTTAAATAAACTTC